TGCGTCTCTCCTCCGGCGTGCCTGAATACTTCCTAATGTTGGTCGGTGTGTGACGCGATGTGACGTTGCGTGGTGGTGTAGTGCGCGCGTCCAGTGTTCCTCCGCGCCGTAATTCTCGACCGTGTGTCGTGTGGTGGCGGGCGGCGGCAACGGCGGGAACTAAGTGCCTGTTGACTACTCGTTAGTCGCTCCTGGAATCTTCGTTGGTACTCTGCCATGGAAGTGAGAGCCGGCTCGCGATCGTTTTTCTCCCCCGCGTTGAGGAAAGAAACGCGGCAGCGATTTCTTGAATAGGTTATGTCGCGCGTGCCAATCTCCGCCTCGCGTTACGCCGCACTGGCACACACGTGAATCGAGGGGACAAGACAGAGAGAGATAGACCGATGAAAAGATAGAGAGGGAGCTCTGTGTATACATACACTCACCGTGCGGTTGGTTTTTTTTTCGTTTTAAAAGACGCGACTACTGTCAGCCCGAAGGTCGAGGTGATATATTCGACACGAGAGATTTCGACGCCTCGTTCGTTCTTCGCGATTCCACTCCGTAAACGGAATTGTCGTACGCGCGCGCGCGCGCTCTGGAAAAAAATGAAAAAGAAACGTGAATACCGTGTGCCGTTTAGGTGGCGATCTTGTATATCGATTCTGTTCGCGCAATTATCGACCGGTATCCTAAACCGTTAACGCGCGAGGTTCGTTGGCTTCTTTACTCTTGTGTGTTGTGAATGTTCATTCGGGATATTCTTTCGCGTATCCGAGCGTTAATGGAGTCTTTAATGGAATCACTGAGAAGGACTGTAGAAAGTGCTTTTCACGGTTCGAACGCATTGCTATGTCGTTCGATTGAACAGTTCTATTGGGTGGGTGTACATGAGGAATTGTTTTTATAAAATTATATCTTTTTACGAAAATTGTGTATTTAGTTAAAGTAATGTGCACGTGATTCTGCACACTTTCCCGAGTGGTTAGTTTACTTCATTATCTTGTATTTATAAAATTGAGCAGGTTTATCAGGTTGCTGCATGTGAAGTGTCGTTTTTATAAAGAAAATGTTCATTATCGATAGTTTCTTGGAAATCCCTACAGTTTTGCCAAATGACATTTTTTCACGATCTCTTCATTCCGAAATTATATGTTTATCAGAGCATTATCTCAGTATTGAAAAATAAATGGAAATTCGTAATTGCAAGCTATGAATTGTTATATTATAGGAATTTTTCAATTTGTATATAATTCTCGATATTTGATGTTCTGCATTATCATGTAATAAAGACGGCTTCCAATTGTTCAGCAGTGCAGGTTAATTTTTGTTTTATTGCTCTTAGAATTCAAAGACGAAAAAAAATTACTGATTGAAAAAGTTGTATAAAATCGTCTAGAAATTATTTCAAAATATTATTTTAGAAATTTCCATATACACTATCTTAATGTTTACATTCTATTTCACAAATTAAACAGAACCTCGTGTATTTGTTAATATTTTCGATCCATTAACAGTTTGATAATAAATACTGGGTAATTTGTCCAATCTGAATTCTTTGACGATAACCTTTTTATCAGTAAGTTGTACAGAGACAAAAATTCATTGTATAACGGGTGTCCTGAATGAAGGCCCACTTGAATCCGTCAATTTTCTAAATGACTATTATATTTTCACGGTATTAAGTAAAAATTTACATCAAACTTAACCGTAAAAGTAATAAAAGCCATTACTTTACCAATCACTCAATATAATTTTTTTATTTTAAGCATCAATCGTGTTATTTATACGTGCGGGCGAAGTTGTAAATGAACTACTTCCGAGGAATGCAGTCAACAGTTGTTTTATAAGCTTCGCAATCATTTTGTAACCGAATGCGTAAAATCTGATTATACAAATTGAACGCTTTCCGACACGCGTCCTTGATCGACATGTCAATTGTGCGGTCGAGAATTCGAATATTGAAATTTTATCCGTTTCGGTGCAATGCGCTCGGAGTGGACCAGTTTTGTTCAAAATAATTGACCGTTTTTTCACGCGCACGTGTATGTATAATTTTTTGCGCGATCAAATAAGTCGCATACATTATACACAATCATATTTGTATATGCGATTTTTGGGCGGGTTATTTTTCTAATTAAATGTAACAATCAATGAGAAAGTTTAACTCAAATGCACTTGATTGACGAAGCTATCAGTTACAGCTACCGATCAGCTAAAGTGATACATTTAAAAATGTTTATACAAATTATAAGGGTACATTTGTCTTTAGATATAAATTTATTTCTATTATTGTATCTGCACAAAGAAACGAATATAACCGTTGATTTGGATCATGACTATGATCGTCAATTATTTAATTGTTAATAATTCTCAAAGAAGCAAAGTGGTTTTATTATTCGCAGCCTATTAATCATGTTTACACAGATTTTCAATGAATCCTATCTAAATTCTTCGAATTTGAACAAGTATATTCTAAATCACGTAATTACTAAATTAATAATCCTCTCTTGTTACTGCAGTTGTTAATCCTTTGTCTCACAGTTTCTTTCACAACTATTCATTAGAGCTACCTTACAATTACTAATTTACTAAAAGAAAAGAATAAGAACTTCCCATGTCCCCGCATCTACGTAGTTCCAAAGCGTAACAATCGCCAACATAAAAGCAATCTTCAACATTAAAAAATTAATATTTTTTAAAAATCCAATTTGAAGTTACCATCACGAGCCTCATCGTGGTCATTATTATCATTGCAAGGCAAGAGTGTTAAGTAAATTTCTGACGAAATAAACGCGACGCAGAAATGACTCGTTAGAATCCTTCGAAACTTCCACCGGTTGGTAAACCGTTCTAAAACACGTTCCGTTGTTGCGCAGGACATTGACTAGAGGTACAAAGGCAATTAAGAAAGAAGAAGAGAAAAGTGTCCGCCTAAGAGGAGAATTTTCGGAGGAGGATGCTCGGCAGTTGGGGCTGGGAAGAAGAATTGGAGTTGGGAGAGGGAACAGCAACCCCGTCGCAAGATAGACAAAGACGAGAGAGCCCAGACTCGACGCATCCTGTCCCCGACAGCCGGGTGCTGAGGTATGCACCCAGCCGGTGTCACCACCCTCCCAGCTTCAACTCGCCACATTTCAGCACACAGCCTCCTCTCGACTGTACGGACTGTGAGTATACATACATATATAGATACATACAGGAAAATTCGGCGGTTTACAATTGTTGTAACTTTTTAACACGTTGAATGCCGCACAATTTTAAGGCGCAGAATATGCGAAATGAAAAAGATACAATATTAAATTATTTAATTGAATTGCGTTGTTATTATCGCAGGTTTGTTTTGCGGAATGTCACCGTATTAGGTAGCATTATTTACAATATAGAAATGTTTTCAAATAATCATCGTTTAATTGAGGAAATTGCAGCAATTGAATTTGGTCCGGGGGTCACCGGTGACCCCCATGGCATTTAACGTGTTGATAAAGACTTATCGGTCGACTTTCGTATAAGATAAGTCAGGGAGAAATGGTCCACCTTTTTAAAAAGTACTGTTGCAGCATAAATATTTAATAATAATAATAATAATAATAATAATAATAAACACTATTTCTATCGAATGTGTCAAAAGACACCTTTTGGAATTTTCATTTAAGATTATTTTTCAAGTTTAGTCGTATATTCTGAATTGACTTTTCGACTTTTCCAATAACGATTATAAGATCAGCTATAGGAAGTACACAAGATTCAATTGAGGAAAAATGATTAAACTGAGAACATAATTTTAAGTGAAAATTTCAAGAGATGTCTTCTGACACTTTGGGTAGAAACAGTGTAAAACAGGTTTATCTATAAGATTCAGTATACCACTCAAGAACATTGAAAATATTTGATAATTTTGTGAGATCGGGTCATATCACTCGGAATTATCCTAACGTTGTTTTCTTATTTTTGTGTATAGAATACACTGATAACTTTGCCCGGGAAAACCTCGGACACCTTGTATGGATAGTGTAATTCCAGGGGAGATGGTCATATTTTCATTGAAACACATTAAATAATATTAAACGAAAATAGAATTAAAACACCAAATTCAATTTCTACATCAGTTTTAATTACTTTCGTACAAAACGGTTAACAAAAATTCAAATTACAACTGGAGAAAGCTATCAACTGTAATTGTTATTCTACCAGTTATTTATGCAAGATAATTGAACCGGCTATCTTTTCTGGAATTACTCTATGTATATTCTTGATACGTTCACGATCTAATCGAATCCTATCTCGATACCGGGTAAATAAATATAAGGGATGGTTAAGTCTTGATTAGACATTCAATTTCATTTCGATAGATACGCATTTTATAAATTTTTGTTGGAATTATTTGTAAGAATCGTATCGTGTATAAGTGCAATGTTAGAATTTCTCGAGTATTTGTAATTAAATTATTAAACCCACTTTTTTCTATTATTTTGAATTCTATTTTTTTGAAATTCTTGTAATTACTAAAAATTGAAAACTTAGAAAATATAACTTTTACTTTAACTGTTGTAATTAATTATAATTTTATATTCATATTTCTTATACAATATTTGCTTACAATTTTTAACTTAAGCATTGTTAATATTGCACTTCTGCACCTGTAAATGAAAGATCAAGTATGTGTCAAGAATAGCATGACTTACGACAAAAATGGTAAAAGTGTCTTGTTTGGCCTGGCATACGACCGCAGAGGGTTAAAAACAAATCGTTGAAGATATTCAAGAGTGGCTTAAACTGGTTCAGAGGGATGTTCTTCGAGTTTTGTTGCAGCAACTTGCACGTGTTCAATGTATTCATCCGTGCACTCGCTGCATCAATGTGATGGTCGTATTCTTGTCGAAGGGTGGAGACATTGTCTTCGATGTGTCTCCGTCAAAAAAATGTGTACGACGAACCATGATCACCCGTCTATTCCATTTCATAATCTAAACAATTAGTCTTATTATTTATTATTTTAGGAAATTGTTTTTATTAATTTTTATTCTGACAAATTATTTTTATCATTTATTATTTTAGAAGATAATTGTTACTTTTATAAACTTTAAAAGTATTTCTCCAAGTCTATTCAACAAGCCTTAGCACTATGAATATTAATTTTCTATAAAAATAATCTTGTTTGATTTGATAAAATGATGAAATAGTGAATATCTTTTATAATAATCTTTTACATGAAATCACGCAGTTTCTCTCTCAAAGCTTACAATGTGTCTAATTAATCCTCGGCTGATGAATAGCTATTTTGATCTGTAACAGAATTTCTTTATTATACGGAATCCTTAAGAAGAAATTATACATCAGATTTTATGTATTATTTTTTCACTGAAAATGTTGCAGTTATATATGCTTATAATCACATAAATAAATTAATAAATAAAATATGTATATGGAATAAAAATATCTAAACATGAGATCGAAATTTTGAAATTATTAAATTTGTAAAGGTGTTTAAAAGTATTTATTCCCAATATACTCGGAGGTACGAAATTTATCAAGGCACGTCCAAGTATAAATATCAACGACTTTTAACAATTATGCGCTTCATTAAGTCCTCTACATTAATTTTTTATTGTTAAATGATAATTCCAAACTTTGAATTTCGATTATTATTTACGTAAAAATAAAAGACATTAACAAAAGGAATCAAAACACATGATTGCATAAATATTTGCTATTTAATTGCATGAGTGAAAATGTTCGAAGTACAAAGGGTTGAAAAATCTTACGCCGTCAACAAATGTTCATAAATACATGCTATCTAATTCCTGTTTATTAATTGATCCTACATTATCGTAAATAAATCTTACATTGCATGGTAATGTATACCATTGCATTAGCGTCATTAACTCTTACCTACCGGAGTGAATTTCAACCCACTTCAACCTTTTTCCCTCACACAGTAAAATTTTCATATATTTTTGCAAGTAAACATTAAGTTCAGTTAGCATCACTAAAATTCTATTTATATGAAATATAATAATAACATAATAATAATCATAATAATATTATTATTGTTAATCATGTGTTAATTGTTATAAGGCGAGAGATTTTTGAAATTAAATTCCACAGTTAACTGGTTAACTCCTTCCTTCCCTTATAATTTTTCTCTTGATTATACTCAGAAAAGTAACTTTATAGTCAGTTTTACGAAAGAAGGATTCCAACAGGCAAACCCAACGTTCTGACCAATATCTCCAGACTCCCTGCCTTTGAATTCTTACGAATGTTCTTTCTTTGTTACACATTGTATTGCTAATCTTTCGATATTCCTACTTCGACCATTTGTGTGACTAGATGATGTGTCAATGCTTATTGGTGAACACGAAAGACAGACGTCGCATCTAATGAATAGCAGGTGGTTGGTAAATTCGCGCACTTTTACGCCGAGAATGATAGGAAACTTACATGTATAGATGTGCCTTTAACTTGTTAACTGTAGAATTTAATTTAAAAAGCCTCTCGCATCGCGCGCAATAAAGTCAACAAATGAAGTATGTACGATTTATTTTTCAACTATGATCGACACAACTACTTTGCCATTAATAGTCTATTGAAAAAAGAGACAAATTTTAGGTATATTCTATACCTATATTTGCTTTTAGTTATAATAATTGATAACAAAAGGATAATATTTCATTTGTATTCACAATAATTGACTAATATTTATATTTGTTAAGTTCTGTTTAAAACCTTCACCACGAGTTTCACACTTTATTTATAAGGCAAGGAGTTAACAGAAAAATAATGGTAATGATATTTCAGAAAACAATTTCAGAATATGAATTTTAGTTCTTAAACACATCTTTAGTCTGTCATATTGTTTTAATATACCTAATCTTGAAGCATCTATTATACATAACGAAATACATGCAGTCTATATAAGTTCGAATGAAACAATGAATATACAAAGGTAGTGCTTATGCGAACGACCTACAAGTATGAAAATAAATTGAAAATATAGCCCCTGATCAAAGAATTGGCGCTACTCATAGTTGTTAATATTTTTTATTAATCATGGTACTGCAGGACCAAAAGGCAATTTGACAATTTTTTTATCGTATTGTTAAGATATAGAATTAAGTAAAAAAATTAAGCCCAAGTTATAATATGTCATTGCTGGTTTTTTTTAAGATGGCATATAAATGGTGACTCTAATTTTTTTTATCAGGGATTGTTGAATAACCAAGGGATTATTAAACTTGCATTTCATAAGAAAAACTTTAAAGAAATTGATTCTACTTTTCTTAGAATGTTGAAGTTATTACTTCAATATGAGATATCATTTCTAGAAACTGAGAACACCTAATTTTCTTAAAAAATGTAGGTGATATGAAGAAATATCTCAGACAAAAGCTATAAAGTATTAAGTGTTAGATATCATGTTCTTATTTGTTTGCCCTTGATATAATCGTGGATCGTCCTGCAAATATCACATTAAAATTTTTAAATACTATCGTATATTTTTTACTATATATAATTTTATGCACACTGTATAAAATAAGAATTTATTCATCATTATATTGGTCGAAAGTAATGTTTACCGAAATTTGCCGAAAACACCAATTTTTTATGGTCAGTATAAAGCAATGACGAACTGTATATGATCTATATACATTGAAATAAAATATAATGTTAAGACTTCTAAACGCTTAGACATAAAATATCTTCCATAAACGCAGAAATCTACTTTATCGAGCCACTGAGAAAGTAACACTTTGTTTGGAGTAGGGAAAAGGATAGCATGCTATGTGACACAATGTGACAACGTTGCACGGAGTACGCAGCAGCAATTGGCTCCCTACCATAACACGTGATCAGAGGCTGTCTACTTCTTCCAGATATCTTGTTTCAAAAAACAGACCATAATACTTTTTCAATAGAACGAAAATTATATGTTCATTGTAGAAATAAATATATTTATTGTAAAAGTTCAACATTTATAAACAGACAACAGCGTTTCCCTTCAATTTCTATGAGTTTATTTCTATGTTTATTAATTTTTATTCTTTATATATTTGTATGAATAATATTTATATTTATTGAGTACAGTGTCTTTACCACGAATTTAACTGACTATCACAGGAAAGATCAATAAAAATGAAAAAGTAAAATGTTTTGGCAATCTGTGAAAAAATCAAATACTCCAGTTAATGCATTAATAAAACAATTGATATTTTAGTTTGAATCGGCCTGAAAATCGAAATGTTTCAATGTATCGACTGCCAACAACACTACTCTTTTATCCACCCGCTTGTCCTTTTAATTAGCACGCGGAAACTGGAGACTAATTAAAACGCAACTCCTGTGAATTGATTTATATAGACGAAGCGAACATTCAGAAAAAAAAACAGTTAATGAATATCCTCCCTTCTTTATTTGTTGCTTTGGTGAACAGTGACTCACGGTTTTGTTTGAATAATGTTAATGTATTCATTTATTCGAGTTACATAGCCTTACAGCGATAAAAAATAAATGTATTCGTGGTTCTATTTAAATCCGACTTAGAGAAGCTTGATAAAAGTTCACATTTCATTCGATAAATTATTGCAAGTAATTTGTACGAGTCATTGAATTATATACAGCGAAAAAAAATGTATCGTCCCATTCTGTTATTATTTAAAGCGTCAGTTTATTATTACAATGAATACTGTATTTAAATTAGTAACGAGTATCATTAAATTTATGACATTAAAAAATTAGGAACACGTAAATTATTTTATCTAGATATTACTTATTATATAATGTCATATTATACTAAATAACATTTATGCTATTACATTCCCAATAATAAATTAAAATTATATAATTTTAATATAATATATAATACTCGAACTTAATTTTGTGCTTTAATGTCTTTAAAAAGCTCATTGAATATCATTATTGTTATGAGTTATATTAGTTGAAAAAATTAGGGATTCAGGCTTCCGTATAATTCAAGATAACGAACCTAATTTTAGGGTTGAAACAGAATTCGATTTTATTCTTAATTATTTATTTATAGACGTGTGTTTGTTTTTGTATTTTCTTCTTAATATTTATTCTTAATATCACGATCGTACCATGAGTAACTGTAATTTTAGAATTTGTCAAATGTTCTCAAATAAATTATTAACACTTTGTTCACCGAAAATTTATTCATCTCGCGTAAAGATAAGTTGAGTTCGGTATTAAATTTATATAATTAAATTTGATATTATTTTATTAAATAATTTTACTGACTCTTCAAGTCGCAATTACCTGATTTTATGTTTTAATTTACTAACACTCTATATATTACATTGTTTTCAAAATAAAGATTAATAACATAAAATTTACTTTACGTAAATGAACGCTAGCAAGTTAATTAATCTATTCACTGTGGAATTTAGTCTTAAAAATCATTTAGTATGCACACAATAAAATTAAACAATGAAGTGTGTACTCCTCAGGCACAGGGCAAATGCACATATAATATATTTTAATGAAAAACTAAAACAAAACGTAGATTTGCATATTTTTCTGAGAAAGTGAATGATATATGGTCGAAAGAATTAGTATCATTTTGAGTTTTAAGATGATGTGTAGGGTAATTCGAGGTCAGATGGCCCAGTTTCATTTAGATTATTAAATATCTATGTTTTTAATTCTTTTTAGTAGTATACTGAATCTTGCACAGACGCCTATTTAACTATATTTACGTTAATAAATATTTTCTTCTTGTTTTACACATTAATGATATTTATGATGTAATAATATTTTTAAGAAAAGTGGACCATCTCTCCCCGATTTACCCTATACTCGTCAAACGCAATTCACTGATTATTTAACTTCTTGCATTATAATAACGTGACAGAGTCGTGGTCAAAATTTTGAATAGAATATAAGAAATATAAATATTACTCGATCCTTGTGAATTTAAATTAAATATTGTTCTGTTATTAATTATTATAGTTTAGAGTAAATGTAGACACAGGATATGCCAAGAATTTTCGTCTCTTTTCAGTAAATTATTAATAACAAAGTAGGTGTATCGATTATAATTGAGAAATAAATCGTAGAGCAAGGGGTTAATTAAACTAAGTATGTTAAAATGAAGGAAATAAAATTTTAATATGAAATTAATGTAATTTACAGAGCAGCGTGAGGTGGCAAAAATGCTGACTGCTCATTCTGAGATGCACGAAAAACGGGGGGATCCCCTCGGAGGCGGACAGTATGGAGTGGGCGGGGGTGGTGGCGGCAGTTCGATTGAAGAAAAATCTATTCTGGAACAACCACCCCCGCCGCCGGCGCCTCCTCAGCGGGATCCATCCGATCCTACGATCAGCGCTAAGAAACTTCCAAAGAAACGAAAGTTCGATCCATCAGAGCTCGAGGAGATGGATAAAACCAGCAATGTAACAAGCAATATAAACAACATGGTGAACATACGGACACCGAACATGCCACTCCTTCAATCAAGTTTAGTTCAACAATCAACCTTAGCCCGGCAGTCTCCGCAACAACAAGAATCCGATTGTTATCAAGTACGTGTGGTAATTTGCTAGGCAAGAAATTGATATAACACATTCCTCGTTAGTCAATTGTACAGTTATAGTATTTTGAGAAATTGTCAAATAAATTATGATTGTACGCACGTTGAAATTTCAAAGTGCAGTAGACTCCCGCTTAATCGACCCATAAGGGAGCTAACCCATAATCAAATAAATAAAGAGCGGATTACTCCGATGGATTATAAATAGAATAAAAAATATAAATAATATGCATGTAGTATTTACTTTTTATATGCGGAAGATAAATATAATGTGTATGTAATATAATAGATAAAATGTAGTTGCCGATTGTTTTGTGTCGAAACCCATTATTGATATAGAAAAATAACAATCAGCATCTATGTAGGTATCGGCAAGCGAAGGACGGTTAAAGCGAAGTCGGATAAAAGGGAATCTACTGTAATGTATTAATGAGTACTCTCAATGAATCAAAATATGGGTTTCTCTTTGATATATATTTTATTAAACCTTTTAAATATTTATTTAAATAATTTTTGTATGAATTAAATAGTAAGTTTCAACTATGTGAGTTTTAAGAAATTGTACAATGTATAAACGAAAGAAATGTTAAAATAAGTATAACTATGAACATTTCTTATATTTATCAATAGTTAATGCTAGCTTGATTGTTTTAACACTTTCAAAATTTGAAATTAATGAGCTACTCATTAGTCAAATTGGTTAACTCCACAAACCAAAAAGTGAAGAACAGTTATGCAGTAATATACATTGATTTTTCAAATTTTTTTGTAAATGGAAAGTCAAGTAAATAGTATAGAATATATTTCACTTTATTATTACAGGTGTAACTTTAATTTAACGAATATGTAAAATGTATAAAATAGTACGTTCAAGAAGTAGTATTTATTACTAATGCAATTTTTGCATGGCCAAAAAATCATTTGTTATTTGGTGGCACCAAACCTAATAATAAAGCAATTTATTTTAAATATAAAAAGTTAGGAGCTGATCAACCGCATTGACAATAAAATCTTAAAAAATTCAAACAGTGGAGTTAACTGATTTAGCCAATGAGCGGTTCAAATAATACTTGATAATAGGCTTATAAAGTAAAAGTATTTTAAAAGAAATTGTTTCTAAACCAAATATTAAAACTTATTTTACAATATGGTTGAAAATATAGCAAAAAGCATTTATTGAGCTTGTGTTGTATTTGTATTAACAGTGAAAAATGTATTCCAGGTGTCCTCGGCACATTCGGTGGTAATTCTACCGCCTCAAAGTACAGCTGTGGATTATTCTCTTCGAGAAGAACCTTTACGTTCTCGTCCTCGGCCTGCTACTGTTGCTATTGATCTCAGTGAGTGGCGAGACCACAGAGTGTTAGCTTTAAGGGATTCATATTATTATCCAGGTGTTATTCGTAACGTTGTTCAAGGAGAAATTTACATAGAATTTGATGGAGAGAGAAAACTAGTGCGTTATACTGACGTTTTGGGTGCGGGAAGGTACGATGTGATAGGTGATGCAAGCCCGTCCATAGGGCAAGTGACTTTAGATGCAAAAGTTTGTATCAGGTGTCCAACGTCAAACAATCATATTGACGCGGCTAAAGTGTTTGTAAAAGGGACTGTGTGCAAGATATTAACGAAGCCTAAGAGTTTTGTTGTTAAAATACCAAGGGAGGATGAACAGAGTGAGAGATATGTTGTGAAACGTGCAGATCTTCGGTTAGTGCTACCTCCATGGTGGGACGAATTAGAGGAAGGATTGGAAGACTGTGATTCTTCAAGAGTCGAAGGAATTGGTATGTATTTCTTTTATGCGGTAGAGTAATTAATGTCATTCGTTTGTACGTTCTACTTCTAACTCCAGAACATGGCTATCGAAATTCTTCGGAAGCTTCAACAGCAGTGCCAATTTTGCTCCATCACTCTTCTCACCATACATCTCATATATCAACTCATAGCGACACAGGTGGATATTACAGAACGACTGGTACTAGTCCTCTCTTGACTTTAAGCACTTCTGCGCATTCTGCCAGCACAGCATTAAGTAATGGAAGTCGACCGTACGATGATTTAGAGAGTGAAGATGACTTAGATAGGGAAGACATTACATTCCCTTCAGATGCAGGTTAGACGAATACTATTGTCTTGATGCTACTTATAATATTTTCTATATTATACTTGAAGAAAGCACTACCTTTGAGAAAAATCTGAAATTACTTATTACTAAAATATTGTTGTACTTAAAATAAAGTTTGTTATTTATAATCGTGTTTAGTTGTTTAATTTATTGGTACATATGATTTTGTACGATATATATTTGATATAGATGTTATTGAACATATACTAGTAAGTACTGTATCGTAATTCAAGCGTATGTTCAACTGACAGATGCAAAATTATCAGGGAGCAGTAAGAGGAGTAGTATGCAAAGTCGGGGAAGTACCAGTAGTCTAGTTGAACAACGCAGTATAACTCCTCGTTCTCAAGCAGCCACGCCCAGGTACTATTATTGTAAATGTCTAATTAAAAGTACAATTGAAATAGAAAAACATTATAGACTTTTTGTCAATCGTTGAACAGATCTCAGGCGGCAACGCCACATAGATATAAAAAAGGTGATGTAGTGGCTACACCAAGTGGAGTTAGAAAAAAGTTCAATGGTAAACAATGGCGCCGGCTTTGTAGCAAAGAAGGATGTTCCAAAGAAAGCCAACGAAGGGGATATTGTTCTCGTCATCTTAGTTTGAAAGGATCTGGCCTTAGGGGTCCAACAAATACATTTACTGGGTAACAAAATTTCCAAATGACCTCAAATATTAGCGGTAATGATACTGTATCTTTTATTGAAATAATACTTTTTAATAGTAGTAAGATGGATGGTGAGGAGACATCAAGAGATTCCGATACTTCCCCAAATTACGGAGATAGAAGAATAGCTGGTCGATTTGATCAAGATGAAACCGAAGCTGCTAATATGCTTGGTAGGTTTCACGTTTAAAATCTTTTTACGTAACGATTTGTTTAATAACGTTTTAATATGTGTTATATGTTTTTGTCTTAGTATCTCTGGGAAGTTCTAGATCGGCAACCCCGGCTTTTTCATCGCCGACAGGACAGTCTTCTATATCTCCTTGCATCATTCAGTCTCCAGTACCACCACTGGGACTTAATCAAAACAGTGTGTTTACGCCTATTTCAAGTCCTGCTAATGCATCTTCATTAATTTCACCTGGCGCGAAATGGAAACATTCACCTACTCAGTCCACGTTTCTTACTCAGTATCAGCAACAAGTGATAAAACCTGAACCTAATCGAGTGGTCAGATCGAATCGGTCAGCTCCAACGGCCCCTGTCCCAGCTAGTATAGGAACAAGCGTGATAAGAATCTCTCCTGTGAGTCGTGGTATACCTGGACCCACTAACTTAACTTTCTCATGGTCGGAACAAAGCCCTCCGCCACGACACCCCTCGGTTGTAACGACTATAGCTCAACAACAACAAGGCATAATTCTTCAACATGCGCTCACGACAAACAACGGTTTCCCAAGTCATTCGGAAGTTCCGGAACAGAATTCGCAGATACTAAAGCCATCTCATTCGCCTCATATGCCATTGTCAGCGCCAACTCCGCAAAACTTAACTCTTCTGCATAAGCCTCTGGAACAGCCCGTTGATTATGCACAACCGCAAACGCAAAGTCAGCCAATTTACGTAATGCAGCATCCACACGAAAAAAAGTATCTGGTAATAAAGAATAGCGTGGATGTATCTGCAGCAGGCCATATAACTACTCAAGATGAGAAATATAGGCCCGGATTAATGAATCAGTTAGGTCAGCTTCCACCATCGTTGCATCAAACGCAGTCTCAACCTCCACAGTCGCCTGCCGTTTCGTCTGTCCATATCGATAAATTGTCAGTTTTACAAGTAAGTAATTTTAAGACACAACATTACTTAGTGCCCTAAAAATACTTTATAGTTTCACGTTTGCTAATGTGTCTTTTATGCGTTTATACAGTAATAATTATAAAAAGTAATAGTACCTGTAATACAGTGAACATTGGATAATTGCAACATCGTCATCCCCACCATATTCTCACCAGGTTCCTTTTAACACACCATAGCGTTTGACAACCGATCGCGGTTGAAGGGTGTAACACGATCCGACTATTGTCGAACTCGACGATTTCAACGTTTTCTTCTTTTCTATATTTGAAATTTCAATCGCTTATTATACAAGTAATTCTGAACGTAATTCTGTCGTGTTTGGTATCATTTTAATTAGAAAAACATAACAAACATAATGGTGAAAATTTCATTCATCGAGAGTAAAAAATAAAGAAGTTGATTTTTGAGTTAAAGATTTCAAACTCATCGAGAGCCTTTAATGTTGCCGAATGCTTCGATTCTCGGTCTTCCTTTTTCCTTTACTCGCGTTGTCCTTTTCTATATCCACTATGCTAAAATCTTTGTTTTTAGGGTGGATTCGATTCTACCTCTTCATAATTGCAACCTTCCGGTCCCGTTGAGATTTGCAATTATCCAATGTTCCCTGTAGTGTCTGTAGCACGGAGTAAAAAAAAGTTAAACATTCGATTCAATTACATAAAATAAGGAATTCAATAATAACCAAATATTGTTTCTATTAGGCAAGTAAAGTAGCCACACACGCATCCACACATATGGATATGCAGAGAAATCAGCCACCACCAAGCGTAGTAATGACAACTACTACAGAAGCTTCGAATCCATCAACTCCCACGAGTGTCTTCCAGCATGTAATTGTTCAACCAGGAAATTTGATACAAATTCCAAAAACTCAACCATCTAGGGAAGAAAATTCAAAAAACAATGGTGTCCTATGTGAGTTTGGAACATGTATATATTTTTTCAATATGTGTGTATAAATGTTACAGTTTTATGATTGTATGTTTTTCTTTATTTTTATACAACAAAAATGTATAGTTTAACCAATATATTATTATTTTCATGAAACATTTAGACAAAGAAATTGTTATATTTGAATTTGACATTAATTTACATACTTACTATGTAGTTTGGCATCAGGTATGAGTGAAAAAATTCTTACTACACTGCAGAAGTTTATTTTATGAATTCGTTAAATTCGTATGTCATTTAATTAAATTTCATCGTTTCGTATTAATATTATCATACTATTAGTGAATGTGACTAAACAGTAAGGCTTTCACAGATGGCAGCCATGAAGTTCCTCCTGCATACCAGCCCCACCATCCCCCATCATTACTGAACAATGCAGTGCGCAACTGGAAAAAAGGTTTGAGTTCTCACTGCCAAACAAAATGTACGATTCTTCTCATTATTGTTGTAAAGTAAATTAACAGTGGTACACATAAATACGTATATAACAGTATTTTATTATTATTATATGATACTTTATAATTGTAATGTCTACAGATTATAGTATACTTTATATTAATATTCTTAGTAAAGATATGATAACTGCATTGAGGTAAGGGTGATAAAAAAAGAGTATTAATATTTAATATTTTTTCTATTATATGATAACATAAGAACTATTTCATTAGTAATTTTCATAAAATATTTTTAATACGCTACGTTTATTAATATTTGCAATAATGCACGCTTAAATTTCACAACATTCTGGAGATAGATGTAAAATAGGCTTAGCGAAATGAAAGAATAGATATAACGAGCGCAAGCGAAATAGACACAGGACGTCAAGCAGTAGCGGATGAAACTCGATACTTCAAAGGTATATCGCGACTGAAAAAAACGTGCAATAAAGAAAATTCCAGTTTTAGTCATTTTCATCTTATCTTTAGAAATATAATACCAGTGGACTATTGTGGTTTTTCTTATTAAAATGACTCCGATCGCGATGCAAATTAGATTGGTTTGATCGATTTAGAACGTTCATATATTCAATTTTGTTATTTATGTTAAACGGGTAAAATTAGTCTGATTTACGCGTTGCTTGGGTTCATTTTAATGGGAAGAATTTTAACTATCCAGTGGTATTACATTTATAAAAGTAAAGTGAAATGATTGAAAATGAAATTGTCCTTATTGCATGTTTATTTCTTTAAGTTGCGGCATTCTTTTGATGTATGTCTGTTTTCTTCCTCTCCATTGTATATGTTGTCTGTCTGCCCACTACCTCTGAGCTTCAAGTCTGAGCGATGGGAGAAGAGTGGGGTTGAATTGTGAAAATTTATCCGTACGGACTTTAATAAAATTTAAGCGCGCATCACTATATATTGTCAGTAATATATTTCTATTTTCAACCTTCGTAAAAAATTTAGTAAAAGTTTATAAGTATAAAGTAATCATAATAAAATAAACTTATAAAATGGATCTATACATAGATATATACATGTTCTTATGCAGTTTTTGTTTGAAATCATTATTTATTCAATACATATTAAATGAATATCCATGCAATGTAAACAATGTACCGTTAACTATTTTACAACAAATGCAACTAATGAGTTTTTTGTTTATACTTCAACTGTGTATCACATATCATCTTACTCTGACTCGAATACAAAAATCATATTTCATGTTACTCTAATGTTGGGGAAGGGTGATTTGTCTGATTTTCACTTTCAGTACTATGACATATTCGTGAATAAATAATTTGTATTCTACTTCAAATCATTTGAAAGATGATAACTTTTTATGGCGGTATTAAATATTTCACCCATTTGATTCATAAAACAGTTACTATCACACACAATAACACAATGTTATATGTATTGAGCAGTGAGTTTAACAAATAGCAGTAATAATATTTTACTAGCTAACACTTTTATACGGCATGGTTAAAGTTATCAACTAATATACAAATTTCATTGCAGCTTTTTCCTGGCAGACGACAGTACTGGATCAATCAGAAGTGAGTCCTCCACCATCTGCCCTAAGTCCACCTTTGAGTGCACCTCCAATTCCAATAAGTATGAGTACACCTGGTGAAGATGGACCTGGTCCAGGACCAGATCCTATTACTCCTGCAGAAGAGGAAGACGATGATGTTTTTGAAACAGAACCAACAACACCCGCAGAGGTAGAGGCTAATGCTAATAAGAGACGTAGCCAGTCCCTTAGTGCGTTGCATTCCAAGGAGCCTCAGAGTCCACTTAAAGTAAGTTAAAGTTATTTGAAATATTTATTAAAATTGATTGTCGAATTCTATCGGCTAAAAAATTATTTTATATATTTTTCGTTAATGCTTATATAAAATTTATTCTTGTCGTGTAACACTTTATTTAGAATGAATCAATTTAAAGGTCAGTACCGACAATTTTATTTCACGGCATACTGTTATTTTCAGACTAAAGATCGAATACGCCGACCGATGAACGCATTTATGATTTTCTCGAAGCGTCACCGTGCAGTAGTGCACCAAAGACATCCAAATCAAGATAATCGCACTGTGTCTAAAATATTAGGGGAATGGTGGTACGCGTTAGGTCCAGAAGAAAAGCAAAAGTATCATGATCTTGCGTCAGAAGTGAAAGAAGCGCATTTTAAAGCACATCCAGATTGGAAATGGTGTAGTAAAGATAGACGGAAATCTTCAACGACCAGTTTTAAAGGTAGCGAATCTCGAGGAAAATTAAATAGTACTGGAGAAGAAACGGACATGGGACCACCAACAGATGACGTACCATTAACACCAAGAGCTACTGATGAAATCACTGTTCCTGTTTCTACAGTATACAATGATGCTCCCACAATTGAAGTATAATTTAGTTTTTATCACTAGTCAAGTACACGTCTCAGTTACACTTTGTTACATTAAAAATATTTTTTTTTTATTCAGGTTATTAATCAGTCACACACACATCGGATAATGGAAATGCCTGTACAAGTCGAAAACACAGAGTCCGACTTAAAACAGGATGAAGATGGTAATGCATCGGACGAAGATCAAATGGTAATCTGCGAAGATCCACAGCCTGAAATAGATTTGAAATGCAAAGATAAATTAACAGATAGCGATAATGACATACAAGACGAGGACGGTGAAAAGAAATGTTACACTCAATCACGATTCTCGCCTGTCAGTGGCCAAAAGAGAGAGGCGATGACTGTTAAGCAAGAAATTACCTGCAGGCCTAAACCAATAAAAGGTTCGTTTTATTATTTCATCAAAAAACACTTTTACTTAGTACGGCAGTATTATATGGGTAACTGTACCCATAAATTAATTCTTATTGTTAAATTAACTTTTATTAATTGAATTAATTTAAGGGGTTTGCTTCAATTTCTCTGTTTGTTTAGCACGAATACCTTCAACAAGTATAGAAACTACAACGAAATATCATCACACTTCTATGGACAAAGGTGGAACGGTGTCTGTTTTGTCGAGTACGTACCCTTATCACAGTCCTGTTAATCCAACTGGAGTGTCCGGTTTTCAACCCACTGGTGGAGCATTCATAACAATGCCAATATCCCCCAAAGTTATTAAACCTGAGCCAGTAAAAAGCAGCGAACAGCAGTACAGTACTCAGTACAGCATGAGCAATTTGGTGGCAAGCATTCATGAAAATGGAAGGAACATGCCTAAATTTACGGCTGCTCCGGTACTACATTCTGTAAGTATTACGACTATAAACGATCGAATATATTTCAGTGTAACGTAGATACCTAAAATGATCCGATCGAAATAAAAACATAAGTGATGCCTGTATTTCCTGCAATCCTGCTTAAAAAGTTCCTCTTTATTCAGGCATGTGTGAATATTTGCAAATTTTGTATCGATCGTTTAATAATTAATAAATTAGTCCACTTAATATATTCGATAGAAAACACTTTTGCACATTTATGTTTTCTTTAAGAATTATTGTTATAACTTGTTTGTTTCTAAGTAATTAGAGATAGTATTTTCATATTTGCGTTGTAAAGTAATTCGTAAATTAATTTGAAAACATAACTCGGTATGTAAAAATGAATAAGAATCCGATGGTAAGGTATTAATAATTATTATAGTACCGATAAGTATAATTGGAGTGCTATTCGCACGTGCCTACTTAGTTAATTGCAATATTATTTAAATTTTTTTTTCTTTTGAATTTTGAAACCTGAATTGAGGGAGCAATGGACTCTGCATTTTTTCTAAAGGGTTTCATGTATACACATGCGAATAAACTCATTGATTAAGTTACAAATTTAACGTAAGTGACAGTTTGTTTGAAAATCCATGATGGCTCTGTTTAAACAACAGCAGCCGCTGCAATCCTTAGGCACTATTCTTCGCCCCCTTACTTCAGCTGTCCCTTATCAACAATCGTTCACTGTAACATTGCTCGATAACGATATGGTGGCTGTTTCCAAACCGCAGCAGGGATCGCAGTACCTTGGTCCAACACCGCAGCATCCGAGGATGTATTGTAACTTTCAGATTCCAATCTCTGGTAAGTTTAGACAATGAGAAATAAATTTTTATTTAATTTTTTTATTTTAATAATAATAATTTACCTTACATTTTTATGTGTGATTTCTTCAGTATTTAAAAAATTTTTTTTTTATTTTCTACTATAATTTTACGTAGCTATATTAAAAATTAATCAGGCTGCTCTATTGTTCCCACTAATTATTTCATTCTTTTAATATTGCATCATGGTTTCGGTAAATATATTTATCTATTTATTACAGATGCTGGTAATCGTAACATACCTTCACAAGGTTTAATTTCTGGTAATAAAATGGAAACTCAAAGTGTTATTGTGAGCAAACCTTATTCGGTTTCAACAACTTCCACTACGTCGACTTACCGAGGAATTGGACATCCAATAGCACGCCTTGCAGAACCAGAAAAGAATGAAAACCAAGTTGGAAATAATCACGCTCAGTTTTATGGTGAGCCACAATGACATTTCCAATAATTCTGATTTTTCTTTTACAAAATACGGATAAATAACGAAAACTAAAAATTACTTTTCTGTTCCAGTAACTAATGTCAAATCTGATCAAGAAAGGAAAGATACGGTGAACATTCTTTTACCCGCTACAAACGACAAGCATAAACAGCCATCTACGCCACATACTCCTCATACACCTCTTAATAATCATGGTAGTACAGAAATTTCCACAAATAAATCGTATTCCTTGGATGATATCCAAAATAATGATATAGGTCCAAGTAAAGGGCCCTTCATGCTTGCCCCAACTCCAGCACAACTTGGTCGAGCACCATTGCAAAGGAGACAATCAATGGGTAGGATTCTAGAGTACATTTTATAAGATAAAAAATTAAAAATTGAAGATTTATGTGTTATACACATATACTTACGTTGTATTGGATTGATGAAAATGTCTCGACGTTTTTTTATAAGAAATAAAAAGAAGAGCTCTCCAGTATTCGCTAGTCAATCTAAAACTAAGTAAAACCGAAGAAAGAAGTGTCCTTTATACACGTTATAATAGTTTGAGAAAACAGGAGTTATTCGTTTCGGAGAAAAAAATTTTTACATCAACCCATATTCTAAAATATATACTGAAAGGTTTATCACATTTTCATAGCAATGCCTCCCACATCGAATGCAGGAGACCATGGGCCTCTGACGTCTCAACATTGCGACAATCGTCCACAAATAAGCACATCTCAAGCCACAGAACAGATACAGCAACAACAAAATTTCTCAGAATCTCATGCTTCACCGTCTCCATCCACCAAAAAGGGATCTTTCTTCAAGAAAAATGTTGAAGATGGAATGGACAGGTATTGATAGATCGCCTTAAATTTAGAATGATTTTCAGTGCATAAATCTCTATAACATCGCATACAATTTCAGGGTTCTTGAACAAGTCAATTTCCAAGAAAAATTTTCATCGCTACCGGAATTTAAACCAGAAGATATACAAAGTCCAAGTGCAATCAGTATAAATACAGCAAGTTCGTCTGCTCATGGTTCAGTGGTAACCTCTGGCTTACACTCGTCTAATTTACAATCGTCCATGCAAATGCAAAGTTACCGGAAAAAATCTGCACAAGGACCTCATAGGCCTACAAGTAACTACATATTTTATTATTTTAAGGAAGAATATTTATAATCTAATATTTTAAAAAATAACAAAATAATTATATTCTTAAATAGTGAATGAGGACGATATCGAGTCGGACACATCAGTCTCCGCTACTCCGAAATCAACTTCCAGTGTTAAGTTGACAGGAAACACGTTCTTTGGTCCAGATTTCAACGTTGATGCATACAGAGCTAACAGCGATCTCGTAGGAGACGTTGACGCTAATTCTCCTAGAACACCAAAGACACCTGGAGGAGGTGCTGGCAATTCGGTCGGAATGGGTAGAAGCGAGAACGAACGTGGTCATAGAAAAGTATTGGAGCAACGTCGACTTCTTGTAATGCAATTATTTCAAGAAAACGGTTATTTCCCTTCAACGCAAGCTACTACAGCTTTTCAAGCAAAACATTCGGATATATTTCCTAATAAGACAAGTTTGCAATTGAAGATCAGAGAAGTAAGACAAAAATTAAAAGCTAATTCAACACCGATGAGTGCTAACAGTTTGGTTAGTCCATTACCTGTTTCTGAGCCTTCACCTAACGTAACTGGTAATTATTCAAGAATTTTTCAGTTATACAAATATTAAGTCGTGTAATATGAAATGTCGGATTTTTCTTACTCATAAATGTTTATACTCCTACTGTTGTTATTCCTTTGTTTTTCATATAACTTCTTAAACAGTTTCATTGTCGATTGTCAGAGTAAATTTTTGCAAAAACATTTTTTCCGAATTATGTATAATAACTATATCTTGCTTCATTTTTTAGAAACACGGATACCGCCAACATTCGTGTAATTTTCTTATATGAATTCAAACTTAGAAATAATGCTATGCAATCTACTCAAAATATAAACAAGGCATTTGGGAACAATACCGTGAGTGAAAGAATAGTACAGAGTTGATTTGCAAAAGTTCGTTTCAAAACGATGTAACGATGTCTTCAATACTGATTAATTTTAAATGTTCCGAATTTTTCAAAAAAGGAATATATTCATTAAAAACACGTTGACAGAAGTGTATAAAATCGAATAGAGCATATTTTGATTGAATAAACATCTTTTAGAACATTAAATAAGTTTTTCTTTTTTCCGCAAAATCCGACATTTCATATTACACGACCTAATATTTATCTGTTATAGAAACAGTAAAAAAGAATCATTTTTCTTTTTAGGACCATTGACTGCTCCTCCTACATCGATGGGAGCTCCACATTCACTGCCTGTAAGCAGTAGTGGTAGCTAGCACCCACGTGCCAACTGTGATACTATACATCCCCTTACTCCACAGCACGAGTACATCATTATCCATTAAAAAGGAAAGTTTTTATTGGGAAAATTGTTGATGTACAAGTTTTCGCGAGTTGTAAAGTGCTGCAAGGCTTTAGTGCAATTCGAACTTTGATGTAACCTGGTGCAGGTAACTTAAACAGGCATATCAAGGTGAGTTGATGTACACATATCAGTAGAATTTTCATATTGTACATAGAAAAAAAGAGAGTCGAAGAAGTAATCGAGTGTATATCTGAACATAGCTGATGTTGAATTCAATGTCGTGTGTTCGAGTATCTGTGTTCTATCGGATCAATGATATGTAAAAATTGTGAAATGTTTGTGTGGTAAAAGAATTTAAATGTATTTTAGCAACGATTACGCTCATTAGTAAATTAGAGACTAAAATTCTGCAGGCTTAAGCGTATTACGTTGTTTGATAACTGAGTGAAAAGGAAAATGAAACGAACGAGTATACCGATATAACTGTTTCGAGTTAAACAAGAGCTTTCTTCTCACAGAAGAAAAGACAATACTGTTCTGCATTCTAAATCCGAAGATGATTTATGAAAGGGTAATTGATAGAAACGTGGAAATTATTTTATTACATTATGAAGTCACAATTCATATTTACTTGTACAATTTTAAAAAAAAGAAATACGTGACAGATATTTGTACATCGAAACACCTTGGCAGGATTATGGAAGGCCTAAGCCGTTGTTGGACATTGTTAAAAATGTTATTGAAATCCAGGTAGACAAAAAAGAGAGAGAGAGAGACAGTATGTGTGATATAGAACAATGAACTTGCGAGCGCGTGTGTAGGATGTGTATGAATGTGTACTGAGAGAAAGAGGAAGAGAACATCGTAATTAGAGAGTATTAGAATTAATGAATCATTATAAAATGAAATCAGAGTTTATATACTTTAGTTATACCGCATACATATGTATGTATATATTTATATATATATACACACACACATATATATATACATATGTGATATAAATGAAAAGAAGAAGAAAATTATAGAATGAGAACTGCGATAAATATTGCACAAAATTTATGTAATTCAGTCACCAGGTACGTTTATTATATATACATATATGTAGATATATAATATATATATGTATGTATATATACATGTAGACATATACAAGGTGATCCATTTTAATTTTTGCACGCATTTATCTACCAAACTTTATTAGTCGAAAAGGTATTTCAAAGAAATCTACCAAAGCTGTTCAGTACTATTTATAATCATTTAAACTATGTCTTGCTGTATCATTACTCATTTTGATGCTAGTGTATCACTCTGCAATTTTTTTAAGTTACTTCCTTTTGGATAACGATTCAATTTATTATATTATCAGAATATATGTCTAGTGAAATTATCCAAAAGTACTGATTTTGAATTTTAATACTTAATTTCTTTAAAATAATTATGATATAATACTCTAGCAATCTATCGTGATGTTGAAGAACCAACATAAGTTAATGAATTCATTTCGAAATGAGAGAGACAACCAGTCAAACAAAAATATATATTTCTACATAAAAAAAGATTAAAGAGATCACCTTGAAATCTGGACAAAATCTCCATCTAAATGAAATTATGTACACTGTAAAGTGTTGTTATGAAACAGAGTAAGTTTTATTGGAAATATTTCATCGAGTAATGTTAATTGGGAAGATAAATGTGTGCAAAGATTAAAATGACACCTTGATGGCATAACTTGAAATGGAATATACCTGGAGAGTTTAAAAGTATCTATGATGCTTTGTCTGAAGAATTTTAAAGATGAAAGCATTCTTTTGGTGATCTATAGATTATAAAGAAAGAAAACAGTGGAGATAAAGAAATCGTGCCATTGTGCGGCGACAAACGGAGGGCAATGCATGTGTAAACAAGTCCCTTGAATAGTAAAGAATTAATTGTTAGACAACCACTTGATATAGATAATATCTAATATGTTTCCAATATTCTCGAAAGTACTTATCTACTGTTTTTAGAGCCCCGCTCAAGTTCAACGCGTTTGTTTACATTTTATACAACAATTTTAGAATTGATCTGCATG